TGAGAATAAAGATTATTGTTTACACAAAAAAAAGATCATCTTGATTTTAAATAAATATTTATAGTAATTTGTGTAATATTGTTTACGTACGCGACAATGATCTTTTTCTGTTACACGTTCTAGTATGTGATGATTTGCAAATGTGATATTTGAGTATGATAGACCCGTTATTCTATATCAGACCCGCAATTCCAATCTCAAAAAGAAACCGTATTTCCACCCTTCTTGAAAAAGATTATTTCAGCCGTACTATTGCTTTTTGTGGGAAAGTAAGCCATAGTATGGTCTTAAGAATAAAAAATTTAGAGAAGGAAACTGGTTGCTTGGACGATTTACCAAGGCCAGGCCACCCCAGAATACTTACCACCTGTCACGAAAGAAGAATAGCATGGGAATTTAGATCAAGCCCAAAAAAAATTAATATCTGACGAAGATGTTTGTGTTTCCATGAATACAATCTGCTGTGCACTATGGAGATAAGGTCTTGAACTCGGGTAAAGAAAAAAAAACCTCTACTTGAACCAATGACCAAAAAATTATAAAGAAACTTCACAAGACAATATTATAATTGGACCATCGAAGATTGGCAAAGAGTCATTTTTTTAGATGAGTCAAAGTTCAAGATCTTTGGTTCAGATAGAAGAGAGTGGTGCTAAAAAGACCCAAATTCACTATTGTTACTGCAACATGTAAAGCCGATGGTGAAATATGGTGGCAGGTTCATAATGGTATGGGGGCTGTATAGATATGTACAGTGTTGAAAACTATTGTAGGATCGAAGGAAATATGAATAAGAAGCTATATTATAAAATTCTTAAAGATGTGTTAATTGGGATAATGCGGGCATGGTGTTTAACTAATGATGACTTTGTCTTCCAACATGATAATGATTCGAAACATACGTTGGATATAGTTACCAACTAGTTGGATGAAAAAGAAATCGATATTTTGACTTGGCTGCCGTACTCCCCAATCTAAATCCCATAAAGCATTTATGGGATGAAACCTTTCTGATAATATTTCTAGCGAAATGGATTTGTGAAATAAAATACAAAAGGTGTAGAATGAGATCGATGATGATTACGTTTTAAAGCTAATCGACATAATACCACGACAAATTAGAAATGTGCTTAAAGCTAAAGGGGGTATACAGGATGGTAAATTTTAGAAGAAAAAAAAAATTAATTTACTTAAAATAAATTAAAAAAAAATACATGTAAAAATTTTTTTGGTTTTACACCAAAAATATTGTTTCACAAAGATTGTAGAAATTTAAATTTTTTTTAAAAAAACAATAAAAATTTTTTTGTGAAATTATAATATTAAATAAAGGAAATTAAGAGCTTTGCATCATTGAAATTTATTAGTTATTTGTTTTACCAAACATGAAATATTGCACTCTAAAAATTTTAAACATGGCAAAACAATAATTATAGAAGTCAGTGTATAAAGTAAAGTCGGGTATTATGACGCATCTAAGAGTTGCTTATATAAAACTTTCCAGATAAAATATATTTATTCTTAAAATTATTAAAATAGATTACTCAATTATTTAACTATCTGCCAATAAAAAAAAATCAATTTTTAAAAAAAAAAATTTTGAACTATAAGCTTTCATAATCTTCTCAAAAAAATGCTATGTTTTTAACATTCGAGGGGTATTATGATGTACATCAGATATGTTGAATTAATGTCGTAAATCATAGTAATACAGAATTACATAATATATAACTTATACAGATAAGTATAGTATAGCATAACTATACATTAACATCTTTTTTTTTTTACGCAATTGTTCCTCTTTTTTTTTGCTTATTTTCAGCTTTTTTTCTCTTTTTTTTAGCTTCCCAGTCAGCTTGTTTCTGGGCTGTCTTTTCTTTTTTTTATTTTATACTTTCTGCTTTGTTCTTTGCTAACTCATTCATTTCTTTTAATATTTGTATAGATTTCTCATTAGTTAAAAGTTGGGCAAAGGGGAAGTTCTTTCTTTTCTTTGGCTGATTGGACCCTGATTTATTTGTCTGTGTTGGAACTCTAGCAGTTGGATACTTAAGGGCTAGCTTTAATGCACAGGTACTGGGATTTTTAAACGTTTCAAGTTCTTCTTTTAGTAGTATATTTTCTTTTCTTAGAGCATGGATTTCTGCCTCTAATAATTTGATCTTCCCAGTAGTATTAGCATAACTTGAAGAAGATAGCAAAGAAAAAGGCAATGAAAAAAAAGATGACAAGAAAGAAGAAAGCAGTAAAGAAGAAGATAGTGAAGAAAAAATCGGTAAAGATGATGATGATTTTAAAGAAGATGGTATAGAAAGATAATTATTTTGTTAAGAAAATGAAAGTAATATATTAATTTGTTTGGTAGATAAAGAGAAAGTAAGACAGTAGGTGCTAATGGCATTAGGGCTAAAGAGCCAAATTTCTGTAGCTCTAAATGCATTGGCTATTATTGCAGAAGTATAAGCATTTTAGTGAATGTGTACTTAGTCACTAACTCGCCACCAGTTAGGGAAGCACCGTTTATTATATAATTTATTTTTATTATAAGACCTAACTCCCTCCCTCCAGTGATAATATAACTTCAAAATATCAAATACATGATTAATTAATTTAACAAATCAAATTAAACAGAGTTCGCCAGGGCGACCACCAAAAGTCCGGATTAGATGATCTGTGCCACAGCATAATTTCTTTGAAAATTGTTTAATTGTCTAACTCCTGCATACAGTTTTATTATTGTTAAAATGAAATTTGTAACAAAGCAATATACTACTAGTTATTAAGGCTGTAACGCAGATCACCTGATCCAGGCTTTTGGTGGTCGCCCTGGCGAACTCAATTAAACAAATCAGCTCATTTAGTTTGATTTCTATGAACCAATTCGTATCTCTAGCTTAAAAAATATAAACATGCGTGAAGTTATGATAAATAAAATGAACTAACATAGAAAGTTATTGACTATTGTCATGCAAAAGAAAATGTAAGAATTGCCCAATCCAGTATAGTGCAAAGCAATAGTCACAATATTGTATGAGATAGCAATTAATAAAAATAGTTAAAAAAAAAAAACTTACTTTAACTTATAGTTATGAGAAATCGTAATAATGTATAAACCTTCTAAATAAAGTAGAATTAGACCTATAATAATGTATACGATAAAGATTCAAGCTTGGTATAGTGTATAGTTGATAATTATGAAAAAATGATCAATTGTGAGAAAAAATAATGATACTTAACACAGCCTTAAAAAAATAAGAATTTTCTGAATTAAATCATTAAAGCAATTAATATAAAACAAGTATAATACGTAGTTATGGATACAGAAAGATATTAAAAAGATTAATTAAATAAAGTATAATTAAAATATAGATATTTTCTTTATAAAAGCGTAACAAAAAGAATAATCCCACACGTAAATATATTAGTTACGTTTTTTATATAAAAAATTAAAAACTCACCCACAATTATAAAGGCGCAAATTCCTATTAACTTTGTGTAGTTGCGGCAATTAGTCCTATCTCATATAATATTCTAATATGGCTCAGAGCTTTCTTTCAATGCTAAAATTTTCAAAAACTTACTTGTATGCCAATCCTACAATTTTATATTATAAATTTTGCAATGCTTATACATTTTTCATGATGGTTAAATCTTGCAATCCAAATATAAAACGACAAGATTTAATAGATGCAGCAAATGAAGAATGGCGAAAATATCGGAAGGAACCTGAAACAACAATTAAAAAACAAATTAGTTAATTTTTTACATCCAGTCCATCTATTATTCGAACATCAACTTTCTTTTTACCACCCAGTTTACCCAACTTATCTAGTTCAGAATCATAAACTTCAAATTTAGCTAGTTCAAAATCATCATCTTCAACTTCAAGTTCTTTATTATCAGATGAAATACTTACTGTCACCCCTAATGCACCAGTTCAGCAAAAATCTTTAATGCAAATTAAAGATGCTAAAGCTAAAATAACAGAATATGAATACCTATTAACGAATACTAATGATAAGGATCTTCGGTATCAGATATTTGAGAAATTAAAGGATGCCCGTGCTATTATTGAAAAAGAAATCAGTCATCTTAGCTTACTTAAGCACCATGCTGCATCACAAGGAAAATATCAAGAAAAAAAGTGAAGACAGCTTGAAAAAGGTATTGTTGAAATATATAATACAAGAAGATATCCATCTGAGTTCCAAAAGAATCCTGAATTGCTTGATCAAATACATGAATGCATCGAATTCGGCACAACAGATAGAAGAAGAAAAAAATTTACAATTAAAGTTTGTACTATAAAGCATTTAAAAGAAGCCTTACAAAAAAGTTATAATATTTATATTACTTGTCAAACACTTTCAATATACCTTTTGCCCCAGCATCCTAATTCATGTAATGCACTTCGCTATCGTTATCTAGCAAATATTAAAATCGCTGCAGTATTTCGATCTGAAATGAGTTATCATATTAATGAGCACTATTGTCTTGTATCAGTTAAGATAGTTAGAGAATTTGCTTCAACTTTTGCTACTCATAGCATTATTATCTCACAAGATGATAAAGCTAAGGTTAGTCTAGATATATCAGCAGTTAGTAGAACTTTCAGAAGCCTCCAATCTCTTAACGAACCTGTTACTGTTTCTGACCATGATTTTCCTCATAGAGCAAAACAAAAACTTATACCCTCAGTTTACTTTATCATTAATCCTGAAGACACAAATGAATCACTACAGCAAGATCAGTTATCTATTTATATTAGACCAGAATATTTTGCTAAAACCTTTTCAATGTTATACATGAGAGATTTGATTGATATTACAAAAAACAATAATTATACACAGGCATTTAAGTGTGAAGGACGACTTAAATCTATATGGTTTTATTAGTTAACGGGGAACCTGATGAAAACCCAAAGCATTTAAAAAACATTATTGAATACTGTCATTTTTTCCGTGAACTTGACCTTGATTATCTCTCTATTCGTACACATGCTCCTTACCAATCTGCCTATAACCTAGTTGAACGTAGCATGTGTACTTTTTCAGAAAAACTTGCTGGGGTTGAGCTGCCGATTAATGAGTTTGGGTCACATCTTAACAGCCAAGGAGTAGTTGTAAATAAAGATTTGGCAAAGCGTAATTTTGAATTTGCTGGTCAGTACTTATGTGAAATTTGGAAACGTGATAATATTAATGGAAAAAAGTTCATGTTAATTACATTGATCATAATGAAGATCCATTTCAAGATAATGAAAAAGATCCTATAACCTGGTTATAGATAGAATATCATACGCAAATCTGCTGCTATTCTCTTGATATGCGGAAATGTTCTAATCAAAATTGTTGTGGCAAGGTTCATGCCAAGGAAGTAGTCAACCTATTGAAAGAAAACAATTGATTTTTTCCACCACTAGTAAAAGGAAGAGATGGTCATTATCTAAACCTGATTCATATTCTACAATACATGGACAAAGTAAAACTGCCTAAATATGATAAAATCTGTCCTTTGTTATTAGCACAAATGCATCAAAGGCTTTGTTGCAGCATATGCGACAAATATTTTCCTACAATAAAAATGATTACTGAATATAAAAAAACATCTCATTCTAAAAAAAACTGCAAACAAACTACCAATCAAACCTCTGTGTACAGTCACGATTCTTCTATTAAGTTTGTGGAAAATGCATTGTCTACATATTTAATTTCTTCACCAAAATTCATGCCACCACAACTGTATTTCTCTGCAGATGAGATCTCTACATTAGATTGTTTCAATACACATCAAATTCAACTAAGCAATGCGGCCTTTGTAAAAGACTTTTTTAACCTGCCTTCTACAGATCCACCTTATCAATCAGAAGTCTTTGATTTATGAGATTTGCTCTCTGATGCTGAATAAATATAATATAAAAAGTAAAAAAAAAAAATCAAATAAAAAAGGATACGATTATAAAATAATATAAAATATTTTTTAAAATTTTTAAAATTAATGACTTATTCTAAAATTTGATCTATTTTAAATAAAATTATTATTGCGGTATTTGCATTTTTATATTCAAGTAATCTATAACAAAATATTTTGAGTAAATCGATATCGATATGAAGATCGATCTTTATCAATACTATTTTTTTATTGGTTAATTCAGATTAATATATAATATGTGATAGACCTGCTGACCCCTCTACTCCCCAAAATTACATAATAAACGGCACTTCCCTTACATGATGAAGCTCATCACAATTTTTACTATATTCAGTTTTGAGTTTAGCAAAAGGAAGGTTTGGATGATTGAAGAATATGTGTTGTGTGTAGTGGAAGCATATATAATAAAATTTCATTTTTATAACAAAAATTAATACTCATATAATTTATATAACTGAGAGGTGTGGTGGCTTAGTGAAGTGGTCTAGTTGTCATTCTCTTCAAGTGGCAGGTCTAGAGTTCGAATCCCATGGACGACAATTTTGAAAAATAGGCCTGTGGTATAGTAACCTGTATAAGATGGTTGGATCTTGAATTGAGGATTTGTAACTCGAATTGCACCAGGAAGTAATTCTGTGAGGTTCGCTGGCATTTGTACAACTGGGGAGAACCCTGGAAACTACAAAGGAATGCAAACCAGTTTTGGGCGGTGCAAACACTCAATAAATCCATGACCACGTAAATCTGGGGAACTGTTCATCACTATACAGGAAGCCCATTTGGGAAGTCCCAAGTTGGGAGTAGCAGTAATCTTCGACGGTACTACATGATAGCTAAATTCGAACCAGGGCCAAGACCAGAGAACCGAGCGACCAGGTCCTTTAGTAGGGGGACACACCATGAGCAGACGCACCGGAGGAAAAAGGTATATGCTCCGAAAGTATGAACCAAGGGGAGGGCGTCCTTCAGGCACTTAAAGCCTGGGCAGACCAACCCATCCGGGTTGCTGGCTGGAAGTAAGGGAGAGACCGATTAAGAATCTGGATAAGAAAATAGTTAGATTGGGGTACTAGGGTTGTTGTGAACCTTGCAAGGGCAGGAGTACATAATGGAGGACTAATTAGGAAGGTTGACATTTGAGATATAGATCGGGTTATAGCAGCACCCCTAAAGTTGGCTTGAAATACAAACCCGTTGGCGGCAACACAACATGTACTAGTTAGAAAGAAGTTACCGAACATGCAGTTGAATACATGTGTGGGACATGTACCATGCTATTAGGTTTACTACAAGGATAAATGCCTTCTGTTGTTGGCTAAAGTCTTAGCGTCTTAAACGGTAAATTGTCCCCATTAAAAAGGACATATTAGGAGGAAACATGTAGCACCGGTAAAAGCCAGAAAGTTTAATTAGATAGCTTCCTAGTTAGGCTATAGGTATGACATCTAGTGTAGAACCCCTAGTATAGCACTAACACTTCAGGCAGACTACTTAATTAGGCAACCAAAAGTTGTATATATGGCTAGTTGTACTTTCGTAATACTGATGTAACATGTGGTCTATGTCTTTGGACATTGACTATCTGCTTGAACTAATAAAGTGCCAGTGACTATGAGTGGTTACCTTAATATCCAAAAAAAAATAATAATAATTTATATAACTGCTATGACCATCAAGCATTAGAAGAACAGGATGATGAGAAGGAATAGAGCTTATAAAATATTTAATGTATATTTGGAAGAGCTCTTTATGCATATACTCGAGTCAGTAAAACCCATAACAAAACTGGATAGAGTACTATTTAACAAACTAGGAATTGCATAAACACCTTTGTATATAATTAAGGGAGGAATATAATTGCCAAAGGCCAAAATCGTTGGTACACTCCCCTGACATAAGTCACCGGATTTTTTTGGTAATGTATGATGATCATTTTTTTTTTGCAGGTTTTTGATTTGCAAATTCTCAACAAACTACATATTAATTCGGGTCAAAATTTTTTTATTTAACAGCTACATATATAAATTTTATTTATATAATTTAGTACCATGTAGAGTACCCATTAGCAGCAATTACAGCAAGAACATGTCGATACATACTTTTAACAAGTTTTTTTAAAATTGAACTATCAATTTTAAACTACTCTTCCTGGAGCATATTGAAGAGTTCCGACTTATCGCTTGGTAGAGGAATGTGCTTACGTATATGATGCTCCAATTCATCCTATAAATGTTCAATGGGGTTAAGGTCCGGGCTATATAAGGGCCACAGAAGTTGTCGAATACCATTTTCGTTAAACCAACGTTCAGTAAATTTGGAAGTGTGAATTTTAGCATTATCATCTTGGAACACATAATTTTTTTGACCAACTACGTTTATTAAATTGTTTAAATAGGGTACATAGCAAGTTTCAAGAATTTCTACATAATCTTTCGAATCCATCCTGCCATGAACCCGAACCAAAGGCCCAAGACCGTATATGCTAAAACACCCCCAAACCATTACACCTAACCTTCCCGACCTAAATGTTGGAACCAAACATTCAATATCATATTTTTCTTTTGGTTTCCTCCAAGCATACTTACGACCATCCTCTCCAAATACCTCAAACCTAGATTCGTCACTCCAAATAACATTTTTTCACCTTTCATCCCAACCTATTTTTGCCCTTACCCAATCCAAACGAGCCACACGAGAGTTCTCATCTACAAATAGTTTTCTTAAACCAACCTGACCATAAAACCTTTCATTATGAAGGTGCCATTGTATGGTTTGTGTAGATACTTTTATAGAGGTTGCTTCAATGAATTTGTTCGTCAAAACATTAAGCATGACCTTTCTGTCCTTTTTTAAAATGCAAGTTAAGTGCCGAACACCACGTTTAGTTACTTTAGAAAGTCGTCTAGGACGAGAAAAAGGTACAGTTTCCCCAGTCTTTTTGTAGTATGTAATAACATCATTGACGGTGCTCTTTGCAAATTTTAGAGTCTTTGCGATTCTTATTTGCTTTACACCATTTTTCCAAGCACCAATAATTTGGTTGCGTTGTTTACAAGTAAGCTGTTTTCTTTGGTAAAAAAAAAAAAAAAAATTGAGAAAAAAAAAAAAAAAATAGACACACTAGTAGATTCAAATAAAACCGTAAAAAAATTTTTTTTTGGGCCAGTATAGTAATTTTCAATAAAAAAAAAATTTTAAAAACAATGAGGTCATACGG